TACACCTAAAGTTGTTAGTTTTTAAGATATAACAACATTTCTGGAAAAACCTAATTTTTATTATTTTCGGTCGCACGAAATGGCTTTGAAAAAACTATTACATTGTGTCAACTTCTCAGTTCATAATTTATCATCACTTGAGTTAATTTTATTAGTTAATATTTATTTGTGGAATTCTATAAAATAAAAAATAGGTTTTTTCAGAAATGTTGCTATATCTTAAAAACTAACAATTTTAGATATAGAACATGCTTAATAAAAGTTGAAGTGGACCGATATGTGAATAAAATTTAGAAAATTACGTTTAAACGTTTAAAAATATACAGGGTGGAACCATTTAAGAAATGTAATATTTGGCGTGTCCAGTTTTTACTCATTACCTGTATGTATATAATTAATTTTGTAGTTTAGGTTTCTTGATTCTGTATAACTTTTATATATTATGAGTAACAAGGGAGTTATTTTACTTTCTCGCACTAATGGCCCACCCTGTATAACTAGTTATTTCAAAGAGTTTTAAAGATATTGACTCGAAATTTGATGGTTGTTTTATTTAGAAATATTGACAGCAACCTACTAGATAATGTATCAACAGAAATTAAAAATACACAACTTGCAATAAAACATGTTTTATTTTATTCTTCGATAACGGCGCACCCTACGAAAAAAATTGAAGAGACCAATTTAATTTAGAATTGATGGCGAATTTCTAAAAAAAATATCAAAACGGGAAAAAGTCAGTGGCGTACCATTTTTTTTATTAAAAGAGGTTGTGGCATTCTTGCACGAACGCCGCTGGTGCAAGTAAAAATGTTCACATCCCGCCCCAAAAAATGCACATTTATCCCTCCAAAGCGTTTTTTTCTAATTTCGAGGCAGTATCTTTAAAACTCTTTGAAATAATTAGTAAAAGTGAATAAAAAATTAAAATTGAAACACTCGGAAACGAAGCATATTTCGACACCTTCATATGAACTTTTTTTCCCGCCAGTGATCTAGGCGCCACTTCAAAGGTTTTGACTCCAGTAGTTGTTAATTGTCTTAATGACTACTTTGGTACAACAATATTAAAATTTATTGTAATACTATTTTCCATATTTAAATCAAATGAATAGTGCACATATGACTATTTATTTTACTTTTTACTTTTTTCTACTTTTTAATAAAGTAACGTAAAAAAATACATACCAAGGTGATAGGAGAGTCTATTTTAAATAGAAATTGAAGTAAAAAGTTTGAAAAATAGCGACAAAGTGAAGAAATGTAAAGAAAAGCACTCAAGCTCTACTCCATAACACAGAACACAGGACTGACATTTATTTTAACAAGGATTTGAACATAAAACAAATCAATGACTCAGCTTACACTAATCATAATTTTCATGTTATTCATTGCCTTTTTTTTATCCAGAATTTTACATAATGACATTGATTGCTCTGCTCTTCTGTCTCAAATCACTTAATTGGATTTTGTCGCACAGATTATTTGTGGTAATTAAGGAATTTTATATCTATTAAAGGTTTGAAAATATTAAGTGGCCTATTTTAAACAGTAATCTTCTCTTTATATCTCATCAAATCTCTTATTCATTTAACCATCCAAAAAATGTCAAGAAAATTTTATAAATTATGCATCATAAGTTATATATTTGTAAATAACAATAGACGTGAGATAATCTCTCTTTGATAACAGCCTCTCTGCGTTACATAAACATTCAAATGTAGTATAATGTCTTGATAATCTCTTGGCTTACTTCCTCACACATTTGAATTTTTAGTCTATGTGAGCTCGCACAAAGCATTGAGATTCTCCTTTCAGCTTGATCCGACCTTACCACATCTTAAAGTACTTAAGACATCATTAATTTTATGGCAGCTCTAGCAGCGTTTCCAAATAATTGCTCCTATAAAAACCCCGCTTTAAAGAGCTCCGTTCGACTTTATTTTGTTGCCCGAAGGTAAGTTTTTAACCAAACTGACACACATTGGTTTGTTTCACAGTGTTTAACTTTTGTAATTATTGGAATTTGGTTGAAATTTTTATGAAGCCAAGCAATATTCTTTTTCACTCATGTTTTGAAATGCGTAACATTATTGAGATTTAATTGAACATTTTTGGAATTTTTGGAATGAAATCAATAAAAAATTGTTAATATTCACTAACGTTTTGAAGTTGATTAAATTCATAAAAAAATTTTAATCACCGGTATTTTAATATCATAAATGTTAAAAATTTCGAGTAACGAAATACTGCCCAAAATAACGCGTAAATAGATTTCGTTCAGGTACTTGCAATTGCCATTTCGGTAGACGTTCATATGTAATCATGTTAACCAATGAAAATCTGCCGGAGCACCACATATTGTAATATCAGATTGATGCAGCGATGCTTTGTGTAATACGCTCGCAAAACACTAGCTCGGGCTTTAATGAATTTACAGTAGAATGCAATTTAAAGTCTGGAGGGATAATTTGACGTTTGCGGAATGGGATTGTATTAAAACAATATCCGTTTATGATTGCATTAACGGATTTATCTTGAACCGTTTGCGAATAAACTGGGAAACCTAATGTTATACGTTAAACGGCTCGTATGTACTATCATAGAAGAGTGAACTCGTAACAGAGTTTCAGTAGCGACTACAATATTTAAACACTTTGATCCTCTTTTATTTTAACTGACAAAAGTTGTACTGTACAGTGTGCCATCGCAAACTTCAAGAAATGGTTTGAAAATTTAAATGAGTCAATATTATTTCATATATAATATAGACATACACTACCTTATTATAAAAACTATTCCCGACGATCCTAATGAATGGTAGTAAAACTAAATTAGTATTGAACAGGTACACTAATGTTAACACTAGTGTAATATTTACTCTTGTTTAATTTCAACAAGTTGAACCGTTTTCGAGAAATTCAGGTTTCATTGTAAGGGGTAGCAGCACTTAGTTGAAGTCTTGAAATAATTACACTAATTATAACACTAGTGTAATATTTACTCTTGTTTAATTCAGATAAATTGAAAAATAGAGGATATATCTGCACGACCCTAATGATGGTAATAAAACTAAGTTGGTGTTGAAATAAGTACACCAATTTTAACACTTGGTTAATTTCAATAAATTGAACAGTTGAAGGTACATTTGCAAATGATACTAATGAGCTATAGTAGAAGTAATTAGTGTTCAAATAAGTACACTATTTTTAACACTACTCTGATATTTCATCTAATATAATTTCAATAAATTGGTCACCTAAAGATGCATTCGCAATAGACCTTAGTGGGGATTAGTAGAATCAAGTTAGTGTTGAAATAAATACACTAATCTTAACACTGCTGTAATATTTATTCCTCTTCAATTTCATGTAATTAAATCGTTTTCGAAAAATTCGTGGTTATATGTGGATGCACTTGCAAACTAGCCTAGTTAGTGGTAGCAAAACTAAGCTGGTGTTGAAATAACGATACTAATCATAACACTAATGTAATATTTACTATTAATTCTTCATTTGCATGAGAGTGCATTTCAAACAACCATAATAAGAGGTGGCAGGATAAAGTTACAGTTTTGAAATAAGTACACTAATCTTAACACTAGTGTAACATTTAGTTTGCTTAATTTCAATAAATTGAACAATTGAACGTGCATTTGCAAATGAGTTATAGTAGAACTAATTAGTGTTGAAATAAATACACCATTTTTAACACTAGTGTGATATTTGCTCTGGTGTAATTTCAATATTTTGGGCAGTTGAAGATGCATTTGCAACAGACCTTAGTGAGGATTGGTAAAATTATGTTAGTGTTGAAATAAATACACTAATCTTAACACTGCTGTAATATTTATTCCTGTTTGTCGTTGTCGTTTTCGAGACATTCATGTTTATATGTGTACATTTATAAACGACCCTAGTGCTAGCTAGTGTTGATATAACGACACTAATCTTAACACTAATGTATTATTTATTCTTGATTCTTTCTTTATATGAATGCATTTCAAAACAACCCTAATGAGGGGTGGCAGAATGAAATTAGAGTTTTGAAATAAGTACACTAATCTTAACATTAGTCCAATATATATTCTATTTTATTTTCAATAGACTGGGCTGCTAGAGGTGCATTTGCAAACGACTTGACTGGCTAGTAGTAGAACTAAGATAGTGTTGAAATAAGTACACTAATGTAATATTACTCCTATAGTTTAATTTCAATAAATTGGACTGTTGCAGGTCCATTTGCAACCGACCTTTGTGAGGTATAGTAGAACTAAGTTGGTGTTGAAATAAGTACACTAATCTTAACACTAGTGTAATATTTATTCTTGATTCTTTATTTGCATTTGCAAACGACCCTAGTAAGGGGTAACACGACTAAGTTGAGGTTTTAAAATAAGTGTACTGATCTTAACACTAGCGTAATATTTAGTTTGCATTTCAACAAACTGAACAGTAGAGAGTGCATTTGCAAATGGTAAAAGAGATGGTAGAACCGAGTTAGCCTTGAAACAAGTACAGTAATCTTAATACTGGTTTTACAATTACTCTGGTTGAATTTCAATAAATTAAACAGTTGAAGGTGCATTTGCAAACGACTCTAGTGAGGGGTAGTAGAACTAAGTTATTGTTGAAATAAGTACACTAATCATAACACTAGTGTAACACTGGTAGAAAATTTATAGTGCAAGTATATTGAAATGAAGTGTTTTTTTTCTAAATCTCTGTAACAAGACTTTCTTCAGGATTTGCTTAGCAATAATTGAAAAAGAACTATTGAAAATATATATGAGATTATGTTTCAAAGAACAACGAAACATTTTTTACACTTTCAAGAATCAAATAATTAAGCAAATGAAAATCAGTTATAATTTGTATTAGTTAAGTATATTTTTTAACCAAGTACCTCAGGTATGTTATGAACTGTAGTGACAACTAACTATATAATCCTAATGGTAAATGAGGCGGAAGTTTTGGAGTGAAAGCTAGTTAACTACTGACCTGTACAGAGGTTCTCCGATGGTTTCCTTGAACCACAGCACCATGGCAACTGCGTCGTCCCGTTCTCTTGGCGTAATATCACAGGGTAGACCTTTCGGCAAATTCAGAACTCCATGAACTTCCTCCATTGGGACTGTAACAATTATTCGTGTTACTATTGTTTAAATGCCTCTTGTTAGAAAACTTTCATTCCGAAGACAGAGCGTTAGCTCAAACTTTGACTATTAAGCCCGCCCGGAAGGGAATGAGGTTTTACCAGCACGAGTTAATCTTGGTTAAAAACTTTTCAAAACATTTGTTTGTATATTCGTCAGGCGAATTATATCGATAGCGTACATTTTTGCGGGGAGTTCGGCCAACTGACATTACTCAAAATTACGAGCCAGATGGGACTGCGTCTCTAATGTACTATTACTGACCCTGTGAAACTTATTAGGTGTACACTGAGAAACGCGAGTTTTGAATTTATAGCATTTAAAGCGTGCTTGACAATTCTACATATCTTTTAGTGCTATACTAAAAATTGTGTATCATGTGTATGTATTTAAAATATTTTCAAGTTTGTAACTTCACAAGTTTTGTTTGCACTTGTTATTACCATAGCAACGTCAGTATGAATGACGCTATCTTGAAATTTTTAAATTGTCATAACTTCTAAATGCCTCAATCGATTTCAACAAACGATGGCTCATTTTAAAGAACTATTAATAACATTTATTTTTATGATATAGAAATAAAAATATTATTTTCCTGCGCAACGGTAGACGACGCTAATGAGAAAAGTTTTGTAATTGTCTCCGTTTACTAAAAAAATTAAATGCCACGATATAAGTTTTTTTTCATGGCTTGATAGACCATTCATTATGGAAAACAAATACACAAACCGGAGGTCGATAGAACAACAGAAGATAATATTATTAATATGTTGGCTTGTGTCCCAAATAAGTCTAAGGGAATTAGTTAGAGACCGGGGAATTTCATATGGCTCAAGTTCAAAAGTGACACAAGCCCGATTGAAACTTTTTGTTTTTTAGGGGTAAAAACTACCCCTAAGTGAAAAAAATTGAAAAAATTAAGTTTTAAGCATTTTATCGATAAAAATCTGGTTCAAGCACAAAGATTAAATAATGTCCCATGTTCTCGAACATGTTTGATGATATATTTGATCTTTTCGACCTTTTATTTAACCCTTAAAAACTACCCCTATGCAAAAAATAATGATAAAAAATTACTTTTTAAAGATTTGGAATGATTAAATCATGCAATTATTTAAAGTAAAAGTTACCTTACAGCTAATAAAAGAACTTTTCCCTTTCAACCCCTAAAACCCCTGTATTGACAAAAATGATTACTTTTTAAAAGCTTGGAATGCTTTAACGGTGCAATTATTTAAAATAAAAATTCCCTCGTTGCTTATGAAATAATTTGTATCTCATAACACGTTTCAGCCCTTATAAATCACCTCTGTGCTAAAAAAATGATAAAAAATAACGTTTTAAATCTTGGAAAGCTATAATTGTGCAATCATTTAAAATAAAAATGCCCTTATATTGTTTATGAAAGAATATTTTACATTTGCCATTTTCAACACTTATAAACTACCCTTTTACCAATATTAATGTAAAATATTTTTATTATAATTGATTTTTAAATACTGCACTTGAATCCTAACATTTTGCTCCAAAAATGAGAAAGTCTATTTTGCTCCGAAAAAATGTCATTGGTTTTTTTACCAGAACTCGGTAAATTTTGAAGCTATATATAGATCCTGCAAAAAAGCATTGTAAAGATAATTACAAGAGCTGTATGATCGTTTGCATATAAAACCTTTTAAGTCCTTAGTTTTTTAAAGGGAAAGGATCGAAGGGCTCGAGATAGATCGTTTTTTCACTAAAATATATACTTCACGCGGCGATATCTCCTTTATTTTTTATGCTATAGGAATAAAAAAAGCAAAATATTTGTTGGAAAGAAGCTACATTTTTGTTGTTTATCATGTTTTACGTATCTTTCGTAGTTTCAGAGTTATTACATAAATAAGGCAATTTTTTTTTTTGAATAATGAATGAATAATTTCAACCTTTACCGTACATTATTCAAAAAATACGCATTCTAAACCGGTCTAGCTTCAGGATCGTATGAAAAACACTAAAACAAATCTAATTGTAAAGGGTCTACGATTAATTTTAATTCTGATGAAAATAATACAGCGTTTACTGCCCATTTTTCCTTAAAAAATTTGAGCAACCCATCTGTTTTTGACGAAAACTCCTTCAATTTTGCTCTAATTAATTAATTTATATGCTCATTTTGAAGGTCTTTTGAGTACTACAAAAAACTCCGGGAACGTTATACACGTAAAATTAATCCTTTTTCCGTTATTTGACGTTGAATACTTCGATTCGAGTATTCTCCCCAAAACAAGTCCCCTTCCACTAACCATATTTCGCTTTGTATAGGACGTACAACACTTTTTAAAAAACGAATTTTTTTGTTTATTTATAAGCTACATTTTTGTTCATCGTACTTTTTTTAATAAAATGCGTAGTTTTTGAGTTATACTTTGAAAAAGTGCGTTTTTTCACTCAAATACTTTTCAATCGTGAATAACAAAAAAACTATTGATTTCTCGAAAAAATTCTTCGAATATAATTTGCTCAAAATTTAAATCTCTATCGATTTCCACCGTTATTTTCCGTTATTTAAAAAAAAAATCCACCCCCGAGAAGGGGTGTCAACCCCCACCAGGGTGGAAGCGTCAATCGGCGCTATGTCACTAATGTTCATTGACCTTTTCTCTAACTATCTGCCAAATTTCAAGTCGATCGGTTCAGTTTCAAAGAATTCGGAGGTGAAAAGCTTCAATGACTGTACTAGCATACATTTCTACCACCATTTCGACCAGACCTGTATATGGGTATGGTCAAGTAAGCATGGGAACAAGTTTTTCAAATATCTCAATGCCGAGTTGCTGCGTAGCGACCGAATCCGGTACATACAGCCTAGCTCTTTGGTCTTTAATTGAGATCGGAAAGACTAGATATACCTACATGTTTTTAAAATGTAAGGAAAGATGTTCGTTGATTCCCTTAAAATGTAAGTTTAGCCGTTTTTTTTTAGAAACACAGCGCCGTCTCTCGTAGTCCCTGTATTGTCGGCAGAAAGAGGTCAGCCTAAAAAAACATTTCATTAAAGTCACTGCTCGGCATTCTCGTAGATAAATGAGCAACTAAGGGAGACTCTAAAAATAAACCTATCTCGAGCCTGTCATATTCCAAAGATATTCAATTTAATTTAAGGGGCGAGGAAAAGAAACATTCCACGGTAAAAACTTTGTCTTTTCGCCATAAGTCCGGCGAAGTTTTCCCCGGGAAAGTTGTTATTGCCCGACGGGATAAGGGCGGAGTGCCTGTTGGCCGTATCGCGCGTAGAAAAAACGCGAAATGTAAAGAAAAGTAATATTTCGGAAAGTTAATTACGTCGGGCGTATAGCCCGCGGCGACTTATCGTAATTGAAATTAGCTTCGTAAGCTCTAAATCACCACCGGCCTCCATTTTCCTGTTATAAAAACATATCAACTTTCAACGCCCCGATCCGGTTTTTATTACGGCCGGGGTTAATTTACCGCTGTCATATTGCCATTTGATAAAGCGGAATTTTCGTTTAAATTCACTTGATTACAACGGCTACAACGATACAGGGTGTACGATCATACCAGTTTCATGTCACTTCATTAAAAGCTATTGAACCCGTACATTAACCATTTATTTTTACTAAATCAAAGACTTGTATTTCTGGGGAACTTGCTTCCTTATAAATACAACTACAACTATTTTTTTCAAGAATGTTCTGTTGTCGACCAAGAGCTTTATCAACTCTTTAACACTAGAAATGTTTTAGGAATAAGTAGTGTAACGCTGGGATATTAGGAACATATGTATAAAAATTAAACTACAGCTTCCTAACGATATTTGTAATAGAAAACTCTTATACGAAAAAGTTCTATCTTCACGTTTTTTTGTTTGTAACTTAAAGTTAAATTATGGATCAAAATATTTTCTCTGGAACGCTCCTGTCCGTGTGCTGTACGATGAGTTGCGTGCTGCAGATAGGGTTACCAGATCTATTTCATGACAGACCGGGAGATGGCTCTCGTTTGTATAATTGATAATTGTATATTGACAATGCAAATGATATTATTGATGCATTTGCAGATTTTTTCTCTAAATCTTATTTACCGTCATCTTCTAACAGCAATGACTCATATTCCAGCAATAACAACATATTCATGACTTCACTGAAACCGAAATTCTTTCAGCATTAAAAAGAATTAAACCCAAAATGACTACTGGTCCAGATGGTGTTCCCGCGTTTCTGATAAGAGACTGTGCTCAGATTTTTTCTCGTCCCTTAAAAAAGTTATTCTGGTTATGCCTAACTGAATGTCGGTTACCTGATTTGTGGAAGCGTTCAAAAGTGTGTCCAATTTTTAAAAAGGGTGATACATTTAACATTACTAATTTTCGTCCTATCTCCATTATATGTAATTTTTGTAAAGTGTTTGAAATATTACTTCATGACTATATTTATTATAGCATCTCTAATATGATAACACCTTGTCAGCATTGTTTTATGAAAGGACGTTCTACTGTCACTAACTTGATCTGTGTTACGCAATTTATAGCCGATTCTATAGACAACAACT